TGCATTTTTCATCTGGAATCACCCCAACTGGCTGTGACTTAAAGGAAGAGAGAGTGAAGCATACAGATACCTGGGGATGAGCATTCTGGGCGGAGACAATGGCGTAGGCACAGGCCCTGATGAGCGGGCCAGCTTGGGCCCCCTGAGGCTTCCTGGGGGCCAGTGTGGGCTGAGCACGTGAGCAAGGGGAAGCCATGGGTCCCGAGGTGGCAGCCACAGCCCCTCAGTTCCTCCTGGGGACTCAGTTTCTGAGAGCAGCTTGGCAAAGGCCAGTCTGTGGGGACCGTGGTGCTGCGGCCAGAGCCACCCTGCCCTACAGGCCATGTGCTGTGGGTCTCACCCCATCCGAGAGCAGTTCTGGGGCTCTGAGAGTCAGCTGTGGTTAGAAGGCTACCACACTGGCCACCAGAAAAAGGGTGATGCTCACTCGCTCTCTTTGGTTGGAGGGTGGGAGGTACCTAATGGCTCTCCAGTGTTTGATATTATTTCTTCAGAAGAGAGTACCAGAGGTGGGGTCACTGGGCCAAGAGGCCTTCACCTCCCTTTTTAGCACATAGGAGGTTTGTGTTTCTGGTCGCTGGCCCACACCTGTGTGCCCATTTGCCAGCACCCAATGTCATTGACTGTGATCCCATTCATTGCATAATGGATTTTCCTGGTGCTCAGCATTTGTTCATTGGCTGAAGGACAGTGAAGTAAGATCAAATCTAGAGTTAGCCTGGGTAGAATACAAGCTATCAATCAAACTTTACAGTGGCTCCCATCTCAGAATAACCCCCCAAAGTCCTGTTGATGACCTGCAAGACCCTACATCTCTAGCTCCCTCCACTGGTAACGCCACCCTCACCCCCAGCCTCTGACTCCTGCTCACCAGCTCCAGCCACACTGGCCTCCCAAATGCTCACTGACCTCAGGGCCTTTGCCCATACTGTTCCCTCTTCCTCAATGCTGTTCCCACTGATGCCACAGGTGCCCTTCTGCCTTCCTTCAGGTCTACACTCAGATGGCCCCTTTCCTGCCACCTTCCCTGACCACCTCCTCCTTCCCCTTCTCTGCTGTAGCTTGCTCTACAGCTTTTGTTGTAGATTCATTTGTGATTCATTTATTTTCTGTCTCTTCACCTGCTGGAAGGTGAGCTCTGAAAGGGCAAGCATTTAATTGATTTCATGCTTGAGAGAGCTGGTGGGGGCCCTGCTCAGCAAGCAGGCCTTGTCCGAGTGAACTCGTGAGCAAGGGGAAGGTGGAACAAGTTGCTCTGAGCTGGCGTCATGTGACACTTCAGTCTTGCTGTCGTTGGCACCACGTTTGCCTTTATTCACAGTAAGATGGTGTATTGCAATCTGGATTAGAATGATTCTGTACTTTTTCAAACATTTAATCTCATTTAATCTAAGACTTCACTTAGACCCTGTAACTCCCTCCCTCCCAGCTGCTCGTGTGCAGGGAGAGCAGCGCTCACTTCCTCGGGTGCTGCAGGGTAGGGGAGGTGGGCCCCGGGGGGGCTGCTCACCTGTACTGCAACTGCTTGCCAGGCAGAGCCTGCACGTGGAGGGGAGCTGAGCTGCGTGGGGGAAACACGGGGGCCATCATGAGCCCTTTGGGGGTGGCTGGAGGAGACGGGCAGTGATCACACGGGGATGAAGACTCTGGGGTTCTAGGGCCGGCACCCGGATTTCCAGCAGGGTTTCTGCGTTTCCTATATGATGCTTAATGCAAACCCTCCTTGCCTTCTCCCTTGGCGTCTTTAGTAAAAGCTCCCTTTTCTCAGTGGAGTTGAATATATTTTCCAGAAAGTGTTAGAGGCCAAGGTGGGTGTGGGGCTCTCGTTAAGGCTGCTTCAGCCAGGACTCACGTTCTCCAGAAGGACTGGAGGAAAGTGCCAAACGGCGAGATGTGTGTGTGTGCGTGTACACACAAATCCCAGAACAGGTTTCCCTAAAACGGTACATTCATCTCCCTGAGGGGACTGCAGAAATGAGAGAACATTAAAACTGCATGTGGCCAGGTACCCAAAGCGCCCACCTTCCCTTCCCCTGTCTCTTTCTTATTTGCACAAAACCTATGGCTGTGTTTGCACACCCACCCTTAGGCCTCTTGTGCCTTTCCATACCCATTTCCCTCATATTTGTTTTTGGCTGCCCCTGTCCAGAGAAGGGGCGCCAGCAGCCTGCTTCTTTGCTGGTGCACCTCTGCTGTTAGCCAGGGTCCACCTGAAGGCAGGGGGCCTGGAGTCCTCAGCTTCCCCGCCCTGCCTCCGCTGTGCATACCCATGACAGCCGGAGGGACAGTGGTGTTTCTCCACGACGGCCGCCCCCACTCCCCAGCCTTCTGCTATCCTCAGCAGCTCTTTTAGCCTAAGACGGTCTTCTCAAACTTAAGGTCACGAACGTACAGTGAGTTGAGAGGGTCACACCAGCATTTAAAAAGTAAATAATACAGAAAAGAAAATATCAGAGTACGTTACACATTTGAGCATCACTATTGTTATGTATGTGTGTGAATGCACACACACATTGTACATAACTGGGCTGTGATGTAAAATGTATTCACAGAGTTTGGAAGACACTTGTCCTAACAACCAGTACAACTGTTTTTTATTTTGTCATGTGCCAAGGGCCCTCCTGAGGTGACATTTAGTATGTTTTAGTGGGAGATGTTGCCAGCACATTTCAGCCCAATGTAGACCCATGGGGGCACATAACCATGTGGGTCTTTGCATGGGAGGTGTCACTTGCGGGCCTGACAGTCATATTCAGGGAGGGGCCTGATGAAACCTCTTCCGTAGACTTGACACCCCCTAACACTATACAAAGAATGCACCCGCCTCCTCTCAGCAGGGTTGGCTTCAGAGCTGTTGACCCAAGACACCCTAGTATCTGTGTGCACTTCTCCCAGAAATGCAGCAAACAGAATATGTAATGCTACATAAATTCCTATGAGAAATTTCTTGTCCAGAAATGCTGTCAGCTTGTTCCACGTTGCCACAGGGAACAGAGAGCTCTGCCTCTGAAGTGCAGCGAGGAGACTGTGAATGGTTCTCCTTGCTGTCCATCACTGCGGCCCAGTGGCTGTAACTGCAGACGACGCAACACCCGCTCCCCAAGCGATTGCAGTCTGGGGCAACATTCTTTGTGCTGTCAGCCACCAGTCCCCAAAGCAGGGATCCAGATCTGCTCATTGGCGAAGAAAAGGGAGGAGGGAGGGGCAGAGGAGAAGGAGCAGTTTCGCCAGCAGAGGGCCCAGCTAGGTTTCACCTGAATTCACTCACGGTCAGTGCCGCCTGCGGGCGCTTTGGCAGAGTAGCAGGGGGCAGGAGTCGCAGGAAACCCCTCCGATGGGGTCTTTGAAATTTCTGCCTTCTTAGTTATTTAAAAAGAACTAAGAATAGTCCAGTCTAGAGAATATTTGGCGAGGCCTGGTTGTGGCAGTCTTAAAAGGATCCCTTGCAATACTGCGTAGGGGGTAGGTGGGAGTAGCACCTGGCCAGCAGCGGCCCGGGACGGTGGGCAGGGCAGGCCTGAGGCTCAGCCCGCGTCCGGGACACTTGGTCCCCGCTCCTTTGACGCGTCACCGTAACTTCTGACAGGCAGGAAAGGGCACCCGGGACTGGAGCAGAACCCATCGTGAGAGAGGGGAGAGCCCACCTGGCGCCCCGGGCCCAGCTCAGGGCCCGTGTGTGAGGGGCCCGGCCGGGGGAGCCGCAGCCATCCTGGGCTCTCTGGTCTGAACCCTGAGAGCCGTACCTTTTAGTGGCCCACGCAAGGCCACCGCAGGGGCCTGGCTGAGTCTGGCAGCACAGCCCCACTGCCGCGGCTGGAGAATAAGCAGCTGTCAGGCTGATGGAGCCAGAGCTGTGGCTCCGGCAGCCTGGTCAACTGGTCAGGCTGTCCAGGGTTCTGGAACGTTCCCTGGGGGAAGCCACAGGAGGAGATGCTGGGTTTCCTGCCTCTACTCACGTGAGTCACTGGGGTACAAGAACAAAGACTGGCTTAAGCTGGGCACACTGGTCTCCGCTCTGGGCTAGGGGCCTTTGTAGACGGCCCAGAGAAGAGAGAGATGAAAGGCCCCCCGTGTCCTCAGTGGCGACTGTGAACTCCTGCAGGGACGGCCGCGCTGCCTGGTTGGCCCGCGTCCTCCGTTGCTCCCCTTCTTGGTGGGCCCAGCCCGGCCGGGGGCAATCTTAGAGGGCCTTGGGGACTCGATGACCCGGGGACAGAGGGCCAAGGCCTCTGAAGAAATGGGGGTCCCCTGGCTCTGGAGGCCCCACTGACCGGAAGGCCTCGGGTGGAGAAAGGGGAGGGGTGGTCGCTTGGGGGGCAGAATCTCCGGCCTGGGGCAAGAGGCCAGCTGCGAGCTCTGGGCACCGAGGGCAAACCAAAGCAGGTGCCCTGTTCGCACCCGACTTCCCGGGGGTGGGAGGAGCCCCTCCGTGAGGAGGCCGCGGCCGGCCCCGCCCGCCGCCGCGTGAATGCGGGCACGCGTGGGAGCGAGTAGGCGCGTGAGAATGCGTGTGTCGGGGGGTATGTGTGAGGGCGCCCGGTGTGAGACGTGTGAGCGCGTCTGCGAGTGTGAACACGACTGTTTCAGGACGCAGGCTGGACGTGGGCGTCCGCGAGCCTCCGTGCGCGAGTGTGAGCGCGGCCGGCGGGAGGCTCGGAGCGGGCCTGCTGCGCCCGGGCGGCGCGGGTGCCGATGACCCGCTGTGGGGACCGCGAGGCGGAGGCCGCGCGCGGCCGCCCTGCTGAGCAGGGTGACGCCATCGCTCCCGACCTCGGGGGAACCTGCACCTCTCGGGGCCCCCACGCGGCCTGCGCGGCTTTTTGACCCGGAAAGGGGGGCGCGGGAGCGCGCGCCGGGCGGGCGGGGCGCGGCTGGCCGCCGCCGCCCCGTTGCTAGGGCCGTAGCCACGGGCGGGCGCGCGGGCGGCGGGGGCGGGGCGGGCGCGCGCCGGGGATTTCCAGCGCGCGAGAGGAAGTGCCTGCGCGAGGCTGCGCGAGGAGCGCGAGGAGCGCGGCGCGGCCGCCGCGTGCGCGAGCCGGGTTGCAGCCCAGCCGGGACTTTCCAGCCGGCGGCGGCGGCGGCCGCCGGCCCTTCCCCGCCCCCCGACATGGGGCTGCCCGGGGAGCAGGACGCTGCGGACCGCGGCGGAGGACGCGCCCGGCGCCCCTGAGCCGGTCGGCGGCGGACCGCGGGGTAAGGGGCCGCGGCGGGCGGCGGGCGGGCGGGCGGCGGGCGGCGGCTCCATCCCGGCGGCTCCATCCCGCGCTGGCGGCGGGCGGGCCCGGGGCTGCCGGCGGGGCGAGCGGGGCCGGTGCGGCGCAGGCCCGGCGCCCGGCGGCGAGTGCCCAGCGCGCTGCCGCCTCGCCCCCGCCCCGGCCCGGGCCCGCCCGCCCCCCGAGCGCCTCAACTTCGGAAAACTTTGTACCCGAGGTCGGCCCGGGCCCGCGGGGCGGCGGTTCCCGCAGCTTTTGAGGAAACGGGCGCCCAGGCCTCCCGAGAGCGAGCCCCTCGGGCCGGGGGACGGCGTCTGCCGCGCGGCTGTGTTTTCACCGCCTGAGGCTCGGGCCGCCCGGGGGTCTGCAGGGACGAACGTGCTCACCCTGGGCTGGCCTGGGTTTTTTTCAAAGCCATTATTTAAAAGTTTATACTGAGTCATCCCTCTGCAGATGAACCTCCGACTGATTCATAATCCGAGGGCTGCAGTGGCCTGGGAGGCAGGCGCGCGCTGGGATCCTCTCGGGGGCACCATCTCCCTTTCCGCCTTCGGGGATGCGAAAGGTCAGGGGGCCCCGCGGCGGCCCCGGCTGCCCGCGAGGCGCGGGGCTGCGGCTCCGGACGCGCGCCACGTTCTCCCCGGGCACCCCGTGGGGGGCATCTGGTCGGCATTTAGACCTTTAGGGAGAATTCTCTGTGGAAAGCGATTTGTCTTCAATTTGAAAACAGCGACAACAGGGAGATAGATGAAGCGCTGTGGACGTGCTTTTAAATTTAAGAAGCCCTCTGATAATGGTCCACTGAAGGCAACAGTTTTATTTCACGTTTTTCTCAGTAGGCTCTGCGTCAGTTTTCAAAATGAGATAGGGTGGGTGTATGTGATTTATTCATTTATTTTTGTGGAGTCATAAAGACTGTATTGAGTAGCGTCGTTGCCGCCTCTTAATTTACATTCACAGCATACGACTGAGGAGGAGCCATGATTTTTTTTTTCCTAGCATTTGCTGTGAACACACACTGGTGAAGCCTTCAGAAATGTTATCTTCTGTAATCTTGGATGTGTTTATAAAATCCTTATTTACAGAAATGACCAGGTGCATCATCACTTGGTACTAAAAATCTCCTGTCTTTCACGTCTTTGAGAATGGTCTGTGGAAAAGACCGCATCGTGGGTAGGATGTCTGGCAAGATAGTGTACAATCATTCGTTTTTCAAATGAAAGGATTTATTAGTCTTTTTACCGTGTTGTGACTGTACATATATTAAGGATTAGTCTAAAGAGGACACATTTTTTTGCAAAACAAAATAAGCTTGATCTGTGTGAAAACTGGGAATTACCATATGAGATTGGAAATCTTGTGATAGCTCATGACAGGAACCTTGACAGACCTGGGATTCCTGCATCACTAGTTAAAATGAGAGCTTACCACAGAGGAGGTTTAAGATGTGAGGTGTCTCAGCCTGGCGCCATCTGTTCTCGTCACAATGCAGAAGCCAGGAGAGCAGAGAATGCTGGCAGGGAGAATTCCAGCTTTTTTTTTTTTTTTTTTTTTAAGACATTCGTGTGAATTTTTCTCAGAAGGAGAAGACGACAAATTATTTTCCTTGGATGCTGGCCATTCATTTAGGAATTGATAAGATGGCCTCACTCAGCGAGAAGGGTAGAAGCAGGCAATAGCAGTGGCCAGTTTCTGCCACTGCCATCAAAATATTCCTACTCTTGTTCATGCCTTGAAAGTCCTTCTTTGAGCTGAAACATCTGAGCTGCTTCTTGCTGTTTTACCCTGTGTTTGGGATTTTGATTCTGTAAATGCCCCTGCTAGAATCACCTCTAATTTTTCCTTTTACAAAGAGAGAAGGACCCTTCTGGGGTATTGCCAGGGTAGATAAGATAAAGGATGAGAATGATTTATCACTCTTTGAGGTCCTTTTTTATAATGTTAAGGCTGTGCTTTGAGAAAGATAAAACTGTCACTGTGGTGTTGCAAGTCTGGGCAGTTCAAGCAAACAAAGGAAATTGCGTTAAATTTGCCCATCTCTATTTTCTCATCTTCCTATAGTAAGACTCCAAATGGCAAGTGATCCAACCTATCAAGTATTATGCAATAGCTGAGTTTCCTTGCAGTGGTCAATTTGAGAGCTGTTAACTTAGCTTAGGAGACGTCTTATGACCAAGGCCCTCTGCGTCGATTCCGTGGAATCAGGGCCCCTTGTGTGCTTCTTCACGAGTGTTCATAGAGGAAGAAAAATTGTTTTGTTTTGTGTTGGAGTTGGGGAGGAAGGTCATAATATTGACTTCAGACACACAGAAACTGAAGAGAGCTACAGAGTGAGAAAGACGGCGCCGAGGCCAGTGGATTTGGAAGGCGGCCAGAGAGAGGCAGCCGAGGCCGGAATGTGGAGATGATGCTTAGACTTGTTCTGAGCAGGAGATGCGAAGCCAGAGTGAGAGGAGAGGGCCAGACGCCTGTGGGCCGGAGGGCAGCAGAGAGGGGCACCTGGGGACAGCTGCGGCTTGCACCGCATAGCAGGCCTCCGGTCCAGTGAGTCTAACAGAAATACAAGAAATGCAGTTTTAAACAGAAAAGGAAAAAAATGTGAGAAAACATTAAATGTAAAATCTATGCATAATTAACTAAAAGGTGCAAAATGCCTTTCTCATTTTAGAGATTCTTTATTGACTGTTATGCACAACAGTGTTTTAGACATAGTCAGGATCAGGGGGCTCATGAGCCTGGGGAGTGGGAGGTGAGGTTCTTGCTAAGCTAAAACCTTTTTGTTTGAAATGTTTTGTTTCCCTGTGCAGACACCTTGGGATGAAGTGGGCAGGAGGTGAGATGTCATAAATGGAGGTGACTCTTGGTTTCTGTCAACTCCAGAAATCAGATTAGAACCTCTTGCTGAATTTTGTATTCCTTGAAATAAGTGGACCATTAACGGGAACCTGGGAGTCTCTTTTCTCATTTAACTTAATGTTCCATTAATGTGCTTTGAGTTCCTATAATGTTGTACTTACAATGCTAGGATAAGTGGGGAGTCGGGAGCATCTTGTGCACTGTGAGGGAAGATGCCAGAGACCAATAGGGATTTGACTGGGACAGCGCTGGGACCGAAACCTGCGGCAGGAGGGGTGAGGAAAACTGAAGGGCACCGGCTGCCCAGCTAGAGTGAAGACCAACCAGGAAGAAATTAGCGCCATGAAACGTGGGCTAAAGTAAGTGGGTTGTGTAGAAGACTGGAAATATGCTGGAGATTCAGAGAAGGGAAAGCTCTTGGCGGACTGGGGTAGTGGGGGAAGGCTTCCCGGAAGTGGAGGGCAGGTACTCTGGGGCCACCTGGCACTTCTTGCAGGGCCTTGGGAGTGGCAGTAAGATCTCTCCTCTCCCCACTCGTCCTGCTGAGATGGGACGGTCAGCTTGCTGTCCTCTTGCTTCCTGCCTGTAGATAGAGAGCTGGTGATGTGGCTGGTCACTGGGCTTCCGCTCATGGTGTTTCCTGTGCTGTCCTCCAGCTCTGACCAGGCCCTTTGTGACCAGGACCTCAAGTGGGTCCGGTGGTCTGCCACTGTGGAGGGCCTGGTCTGTGAGGGGGAGCCAAGCAGCGGACCCCCACCTGAACAGCACATTGCTGTCCCTACTCTTTCTCCTTGTAGATAGGACATTTCAAAAAGTAGTGGTAAGGGGGGGTGCTATAAGGGTTAATAAGCCCCTTTCCCAGGGATTCTCCTCAAACCTATTGCTGAAATGACCTAAATCTCTTTAATTCTCAAGTAATAAAAAATTGGGCTCTATAATTTCACTTCATGACTTACTTTTTTCCAGGATTTGTTCCATGATTTTGACTCCATGTATTTTTTCTTAATGGAGGTTATTTGGTATCTTTTCATGAGGCCATTCTGCTAAGAAATATTAGGCCTGCTGTTCTACTATTCTGCTTTCCTTTCCAGTTTAAACACTAATTCCATGGCAAAACCTAAAAGCCTAAGTATTTATTGGATACTTGGTTTCTTTAAGCAGAGAGAAAAGCTAAATTGATGAACAGAATGGGATAATGTAATTGTTAGGACAGTAGTAGCATCAAGATAGTGATGTGTGTCTCCAGGCGTCATGGTCCTTGTGGCAGAGACCTTCAGGGCCAGCTCTATACTCTGGGACGTTGACGCCCTGCCAGAGGCCTGCCCAGTACTGGGAATAACACGGTCTGCCTTAGGCCTCCTTTCCTCAACGTCTGTGTTCGGAATCTGCAAGTTTGCTAGAGAGGAGGGATGTGACTGGTACCCACAGCAGTTCTGTGTGGCTTGGTGTATGTGTCTGCAGTGGGTGGCCTTGGGACTGCCTCCCTGGACTGTGTCCTCCCCTCACCCCCGCCCCGGTTCTCATGGCACTTAGTTCATTGGCTTGTTGCCTTTGTGGGCTTGTATGATGGGAGACTTCATTTCATGTTAATTTTGTTGGGTGCATTTAATGACTTAAAAAGGAAGAACAGGGAAACTGCTTGTCTTGAGAACCTTGTTGCCCAGTAATGCCCAAGAGTCACAACTTTATTCTACAGTGCTGTCCTTTTTGGTTTAGTACAGCCTGATGTTTGAAATATTGTTATAGGATAAATTAAGTGTTCTGGTTTCAGAAGGTTTCTCTATGTGAGAAAGAGCATGGCATGGTTTGGGTGCAGCATGTCTTAAACCTTTAATAGGAGTTGAAGCCTCATTTTAAGTCTTAACATTTAATATGGACTTTACATTGTACTCAGTAATATGTCTGCTTTGATATAAACTTACTTTGTCCTCCCAATTTTTGAGGACAGTTGATTCTCCAACTTTAAAGATCTGATTTCCAGTCCTGCACTCTGTACTTGAGCAGGCAGCTGGACCTCTCTGAGTAGGTTTCCCTGTCTGTAAAATGGGGCTAATGACACCATGCACCTCACTCTCTTGTTATGAGTGAAATGGACAACAAAGCATTCTACTGATGTCGGTTTTC